AAGAAAAGGGTCTCCTTGTACACTGTTAACATTGGTGGGAATGTAAATTAGTACAGCTACTATGGAAACAGTACAGAGGTTCCTCAAAATACTAACTATATAACTACTTTATGATCCTCAAAAATGTAAAAACAGGGCCAGGTACAGTGGCTTATATCTGTAATAACAGCACTTTGAGAGGCCTAGGCAGGAGGATTGCATGAGGCCAGGAGTTCAAGACCAGCCTCAACAGAGCAAGACCTCATCTCTACAAAATATTAAAAAATTAGCTGGGTGCAGTGGTGGGAGCCTATAATCCTAGCTACTCAGGAGGCTCTTCCAGGAGGATTGCTTGAACTCAGGAATTGGTAGCTGCAGTGAGCTCTGATCATACCATTGCATTCTAGCTTAGGTAACTGAGTGAGACTCTATCTAGAAAAACAAAACAAATGAACAAAAACACCTAAAAATAGAACTACCATATTGTCGCGACCTGTCGGGCTCCTGTGGCCCTGGTCTCGGTTAGCGCAGGAAGGAACCAGGCGAGAAGCGGATTAGAAGTACAAGCTTGTAGCAGGCAGGCTAGCCCTTACTTTCCAGGTAGCCCCAAGCAACCTCTGCACCAGCCTTTTATTGAACCAGAACACCACAGGTGAGGGGAGTAATTAACAATGACTACGTGCTGAGGGCACGAGCTCTTCTTCCACAAGGAACTCCTGTGGAGGAGTGGCCCGAGGTCCACGCCTCAGCTGCAGATCATCTTGCTCAATGTCATGGCTCTTGGCGTCTCCTACACCATATAATCCAAAAATCCTACTTTTGGGTATATATCCAAAAGAAATGACATCAGTACTGTGAAGAGATACCTGCACTCCGTGTTCATTGTAGCATTATTCATAGTAGCCAAGACATGGAAGTAACCTAAGTGTCCACTGACAAAGGGAGGGATAAAGGAAATGTATATATACACATACATGCATATTTCTATTATTAAACATAATAGAATATTACATTCTGCTATAGCTGTTATATATTATGTTATATATTATACCATATATATATGTGTATATATAAACAGAATTTTATTCAGCCTTAAAAAAAGAGATCTTGTCTTTGTGACCACTGGATAAATACAGAGGACATTATGCTAAGTGAAATAAGCCAGATACAGAAAGGAAAAATACTGCATTGTTTCACTTAAATGTGGAATCTAAAAAATTAAATATATAGGAGCAGAAAGTAGAAGAGTGGTTACCAGGAGTGAGGAGGTAGTAGAAAGGGAAAGAAATGTTGGTCAAAAGGTACAAAGTTGCAGTTATACAGGATAACTAAGTCTAGAGATGTATAGCAAGAGGCCTATCGTTAATAATATTGTATACTGGAATTTTGCTAAGAGAGCAGACTTCAGGTGCTTTTACCATATACACAAAGCTTACTACTGAAGGAAGCTGGATGTACTCATCTTGAGTTCAAGGAGAGGTCCATGCTAGAGTTATTGATCAAGACATAGATGGTGTTTAAAACCTGAAGGCATGGCTCAGCACCTGTGGCTCAAATGGCTAAGGCGCCAGCCACATACACCTAAGGTGGTGGGTTTGAATCCAGCCCAGGCCCACCAAAACAACAATGACGACTGCAACCAAAAAATAGCCAGGCGTTGTGGTGGTCACCTGTGGTCCCAGCTACTTGGGAGGCTGAGGCAGGAGACTCACTTGAGCCTGGGAGTTGGAGATTGCTGTGAGCTGTGATGCCATGGCGCTCTACCCTGGGGGATAGCTTGAGGCTCTGTCTCAAAAAAAAAAAAATCTGAAGGCAAGAAGAGAGCAGGGCCCCTGACTGCTTTGTTCACTGATGCACTTGTGGCACCTGGGACCATTTCTATGACACAGTAGGTGTTGAGTATCTATCTACTGAATGAAAAAATGGAATGCATATGGACTGTGATAGGAGACAGACATAAATCTTTAGCAGACCAGGTTGAATGAAGGCGGAAACTTAACGCCTTTTATTCGACAAGTCCAGCTTATTTTCCAGGTTAGATGCAGTCATTTAGTTGCTGATTCTGTATAATGAAGTACGCATTTTTGTATTTTGGGGAAGGCTGCTACTTGTGACTCCAAATTAAAGATTTTTTAATTTTTTTTTTTGAGACAGAACCTCAAGCTGTCCCCCT